GATGCATATTAAACATGGACATAATTAAGACTACATGAGAATACATAAGACTACTGAAGTCCTGGAATGACTGCAGGGCAACCTCATTCCAGAAAGAGGCAAATATTAATAGTAATACCAAATGTATCATCACTTGTCACAAATGTTCAGCCTTATCTGAGGTTTGGGAGCAAGATTTTAAGTCATATTCTCAAACCTAGTTGTATCAGATGTAGATGGAATTGCATCACAAGAATCTTGCTACAGATTTTAGAAATGGAACTATATAGCCTTTGAGTTAAAAAGAATAAGAAAGTTAATGTTATCCGGCTAAGTACAACAAATGTTATCTCAACAAGGTGACTTTATGAAAACTCATGGGCTTCCAGTAATGGAATAAGTTGGCCTAGAGTAATAAAAGTAAATAGTGGGTTCTTCATGTCTTGTGGATTCAGTCAGTTAGTTAAATGGAGTCCCTGCTGGGCTTGTTTCCCTGAGAACCTACTTGATACATGGAAGGACAAGAAAGGTTATTTTTCCATAAGTAGTTTCATTGTTTTGACTTTAATCTGAGGCAAATTATCCTTTTTCAATAAAAGTGAAGAGATTTAATCATGCAGGGTACTTTTCAAAGTCAGAAATATATTATGCCAGCATATTAAAATCACATTCAGCTCTTGTCTCTTGATATATTTAATTATAACATGAATCTTTTCCGTTTATGTAATCCCTAGATAAGACAACTGTGAACTTATTTCCATCTGAGAAAACAGAACCAGGACCTGAGCATTTGTTAAGTCTAAAGCTATGAGCTGTGAGTGACCAAGACCTAACGATGTATTTATTTTTCAGTGAATGCTCCTTAACAGCTTCCAGTAATGAGTAATCATCACAATGAGTTTGTATCAATGTCAAGTAAAAGTACAAATTAGTACTGAAAGGAAAATGTTAAAGTTTTTATAAATCTACTGCCTAATTTCTATTAAATCTAATGTAACAATCCTTATTTGATCCAACAGCAGTTTCTCAGCAAATTTCTGAAATAAATACTGTGGTTATCCCATATGACAGACGAAAACTGAGACTCAGAACAATTAATAAATGTTAGAGACAGAATTTATATTCATGTATTTTGGCCTCCCAACTCAACACGGGACTGGGATAGGGGAAGAGCAACAGACAGCTGTAGAGAAAGGCGACTGTAGCCTCTGGTGCAAAGGCAGAAGAAATAAAAAGAAAATATAAAAAGGTTTCTCATCTTTCAGTGGTAAGAAATTTAGACTTATAGTTATTTGATTTCTCTAAAATGGCTTGATCTTTCTAATTTGCCCATTATAGATTGTGGTGTGCTATGAGAAGAAGACATTCAGTCATTCAAGTCACAAAAGCCCTTTGTTGGTCATGATGGCAGTGTGAAAGCTACAAGGGAAGCCTTACCCAGGGACTTCTTCAAACTTTTTTTAAAGGGAGAAGACAACATATACCAGCTGGCATGGACAAATGCAGTTCTGACATGAATCAGACTGGGATGTTGAAGATGGTTCTATCTGGAAGTCAAGTCAAAGAAGTCTGCTTTCTCAACTCTGGAGTCAATTGGAAGTCAAGTATCTGCAGGAGTCTAAGATGAGGTGGAGAAAAGAGTAGGAAACAACAAAAGCTTCCATGAAGCACGTCTGCAATAATGAAGCAGTGTGAAATAGAAGGATTTGCACTAAGTAATGCAGTAGTCAGTGACAAAGAGAAGAAAGACTAGGTACACATCTAATAAGATAGCTCAAACCAAAGGCATAAAGGACTCTGTATGTGTGTGTGTGTGTGTGTGTGTATACTCATGGCATGTTGAAAGGTCAGACATTTACTTAAAAGGGCCAGGAAAGAACTAAAGCTGAAAATATACTTTTCATCTAGAATAGAAATAAGAAAGGAATCTGGAGTGTATGAACATTTTGTCAAATGAATTCAGGTAGGCCTAGGATGTAGAACTTAAACTATAATTTTACAAAAATTAATTAATAAAATTAATTTCTATTAATGACCAATAAGTAATATGTATCCTGAGGCTTTTAAAATTATAATAATTTTTTTAAAATTATGATAAAGCATTTTGGCAGTCAGTGAAACTGCTCTACATATATTTAGAGTGACATATGACAAAAAATTACTTATGCAATGTAAAGATCAAACATCGTAACAAGACTACAGTAAAGTGAGGGGACCTGGTGTTTAAGTTGGTGCGGGAAAGATTGTCCATGGAAAAATTCATGCCTATTACCTAGAGTCATTGAATTTTAGTGTGAAGTTGGAGTGGTAAAGATCAGAGACAAAGGTAACACAAATGCATATATGCATAAATGCAGAGGGACAAAGCGAACAAATTCTGGACCTTTCCTAGTAAGGACTTTTCAAATCTCATAATAAGTGATGATTTGGGGAATTTCAGTCTTTTTTTTGGAGGGTTTTTCTTTTTTTTTTTTTTTCCTATAGAGCGTGTGCACTCGCCAGACAGACAGAGAGAGACATAGAGACAGAAAGCGAGAAATCACCCCACAGGGGGGATGGCCATGCCACAACCCCTTCTCCTCCATTCTCCTCGGCATGCACGCACACGCGCCCGGCGTGAGTTTAAGCCACCAGGTCCAGGACTCGAACCGTGGTCGGCTACATGGGAGTCCAGCGACATAGCCATTACGCTAACTGCTGGTCCTGGGGAATTTCAGTCTTGAACTCTATCGATCCCACTGAAGTTTGTTTCCCAAGTCACACAACTTATTGTACATCAAGTCTCGTTTTAGCCACACATGCACCACCATCAGCTGATCTTCAAAGACCCATGAATGACAGAAAGAAATATTCCACAACGTAAGATATGGCATTAACCACCACAAGTGTCTTAAAAAATCAAATGTCAGATGCCAGAGAATAATTATTGCACTTTACAGGTTCTTTGTTAATATGTATTTCCTGATTTCCTCAAATCTGTTTGTTCTTTAAGTTTTAAAATAGAAAGCCTGGTTCAGATGCAAAAAGCTTAGTTTATTCTAAGACCATTCTAAGACTATCCTAGAAACATACAACTCCACACTTACAGGCAGATCTTGCTTATCCCTGGACAACAGCCTCTCTGAATTCCCTGAATCATAAACTCTATTTATAAACCAATTATCGAAGAAGATGAAGCATCTATAATCTGCTAGAGAAACTTCATTCCCTGCAAAAAAGTATAGGGGAGGAAAAACATTTTAATTAATTTAGCATTTTCTTTGTTACTTTTCTTTTAAATGGAGAGAGTATTTTTAAAGTTTCATCTATAAAATTAGAGGAGATAGTTACAACTACAAAAAACACTAAAAGCATCCATCAAATGGAATAGAATTTATGGGCAAAACCTCCAAAACAAAGATCTCAAGTCACTTTGAAATATTTAATAAATCATTAAGTTTTGAAAAACTGTGGGAAGGACTGCTGCCATACACAGACACTGTGTTACGATGAAAGTATATTTTGTTATCTTTAATGTTGCTTAGCTATGAGGCAGAACAGTCGCCAGTGGGGAAGTTATGGAGAAGAAGATATTGACTAAACAGAAAGAAGAATATTATCACCTTCATCAGTCAGTGATGAAATAGATTACCATGGAAGAGACCATCAGATTAGCCAAAGGGGTGGCTGTCAAAAGGATGCAGAGGGACTTTTTCTCATTAAGAGGAAGTTGAATTAAGTAACTTAACAGGTCTATTCAATGATATTTTGATGCACATTTTATGAAGTACACACTATATTGTATAGTAATAAACACTGCTATGCACCTTCTCTTTGACAGGCATTGCAACATGGATCTACAGTGCCCTATGCAAAACCATTGAGACCCTGTGTATTTCAGAAATCTTTTTTGTTTTATGATTTTCAAATGATTACATAGTGTAATCACTATATTTTACATAGCACTTCCAGCAGGGGCTGGAGCAGTAATCTCTCTGTTTTTAATTTAAATTGTTATTTTTATAAAGCAGAATTACAGAACTATTTTTAACAGAGAACTTTACATTCTTTTGTCTGTTTAATTATGAAATGCATTAATATTTCTGTACCTGAATGTATACATATTCAAAATAAAAGACATAAAAATATTGGTAGTATTATGTAAATTCTGATCAGTTTTTTTCTACCAAATAATTTTTGGTGTCAAACCTATAAATATGACTGTGTTTTCAAATATGCATGCTTTTTTTTTTTTTAAGTTTTTGCTATAAGTTGCGTGCTCACTGGAGACAGAAAGAAAGTGAGAGGAAAAGCAAGAAATCGCCTTTCAGGGAATATGACCATGCTGCAATCTCTTCTCTTCCATTCTCTTCCTGGGATTTTGGTCACATGCTCACACATGCCCAGTGTGATTTTCAAGCTGCCTGGTCTAGGACTTGAATCTAATCAGCCAAGTGGGAGTCCAGCACCTTAGCCACTATGCCACCTGCTGGCCCTCAGAAATGCATGTCTTATATTGTAGAATCAGACATCACAATGTTTAACACTGGCCTCACCAGACAAAAGTGTTCTTGGGAAACTATGTAGCAGTTTCTTTACATGTATACAAACTTGCATATTTCTTTAGGATGTTATGATGGAAAAATGCTAAGAGATGTGCCTTATGTAATAGAAAATTTTGAAATTTATGACTGGAAATGAAAAGTGCTATACTTTTGGTTATTGATCTCTTATCAGATAATTTGGAAATATTTTCTCCCATTCTGTAGTTTGTCTATTGGCTATATCAATTGTTTCCTTTGTTGTGCAGAAGCTTTTTAGTTTAATGTAATCTCATTTGTCTATGTATGCTTTTGTTGTCTATGTTTTTGAGGTCTTATTTAAAAATCTTTGCTAAGACTAATGTTCTGAAGTATAATATTTACCCTGTGTTTTCCTGTAGTAGGTATCGTTTCAGATCTACATCTAACTCTTTAATTCATTAGGATTATTTTTTCTGTATGGTGAGAGATAGAGGTCAAGTTTCTCTCTTCTGTAACAGAGTAAAGTAATTCTAGTTGGTAATAGTTCAAAGTATACTTAATAATAGCTAGAAAAGAGAATTTTGAATGTTTACAAATCAAAGTGATAACAAATGTTTGTGGTGGTTCGAATGTGTATTGACCTGATTTGACCATTATACATTGTATTCATATGTTGAAAAACACATCATACATCATAACTATGTATAATTGTTATATGCCAATGAAAAAACATAATTAAACAAAAAGTGTCATATTTTTATTGAAGTCATAGGAAATATCACAACATACTGGAGGATACATGCAGTACTTCCCAAAGTAACAGTTCTTTGAAGCAATATTTTTGTAGCTGTTTGTTTGTACCCAATACTGCATACTCTAATTTTCTTAAATTAAATTACACATTGGTGAAAGGAAAATTTAGTTAAGAAATGAAAATAATTTTGAGTCACTTGGAAGACTTCTATGAAAGGAAACTTTTGACTCCACTACTGTAATACTTAAAAATAGGGTAGAATTAGGAATTTTGACTCTCAGAAAGTCCTATCCAGCAGCAGGCATGGGAAACAATGACCTCAAGAACTAATTTTCTCGTGTTCTTAAGAATTCATGATTCTGTCATTTGGAGTGGCAGATGACAAATTATTAATAATGATGGTAATAATAAAATAATGACAATAGCAATAACAACTGTAATAAAACCAAAGACAAACCTCATAGGGGTGAATTGCCAATTAAACAAGACAAATATGTACCTCATATAGTTTGTGCTTAATGAGGTGATTCATGTTTCACCAGTTTTTAGAATATCCTGTTATATTTGTTTGCAAATTATTTTCCAAAACAGGATGTTTTTCTTGTCCTATAATTGTTGCCATGGAAAAGAAAGCAGTGTTTTGAAATAGGCTGGTATCACCTACTGGAAGAAAAGAACAGTCTCCATGATAAGACCTTTCTATCAACAGCAAAGTCATGTAATTCTGAGATGAATTCAGGAGCTGAAGGCCAAATGTGGCTCTCTGTAAACCAGATTTCCTGGCTGGATTAAGCACTCAGCGATGCAGAGCAGACCCCAAATGTTATTGCAAGCAAAATCCTATTTTAATCTGCCCTCCTGACTCTTGGAATGTTAAATTCAACTGCAGTTTAGAACCTTCCAGTCTTCTGATCTGCCTTCAAAGTGGGCTTATTTTTGAAATAGAATCTGCTTACTTTAAGATTCGACATTTTCCAACATTATTTTTTAAGATAGGCATGTTAAGCATGCTTGCTGATAAGTGAAAAGGCAATTTTTTATTCCCTTGAGATCCTGTATTTATGAGAGTTGGGAGGCAGGAGAAAATGACGTGAAATGTGTAAACGTATAGGAGAATGTTCGGCATTCCAGCAGCAAGTGGGGTCTGTGTATGAGTCAGTGGTAACTAGTATGGGTGGGTGCCTGGTGGGATTGGACCTCGCACTAGCAAATCACAGATCTTTATTGCTGAGAGCGACCTGATAGATTTACAACCCACTACAAAACAGCAGGGAAGGAAAACCACTGCCTTGAAATGTAGGCTTGATTATTTATTATGCCTTCCACAATGAAACTTCTTTAAGTGTTTACATCTTTGCTGAGATCCCAGACAATCCTTCTCATTGGAGAGGTTTTGACCTGAAAATGACCACTTGGAAACAGACAAAACCAGAACTTAGTATTGAGAAAACAAGGAGCGAAGAGAAGCCAGCTCAGAAACTACAAGTATTTAAAGGGTGACCTACGCACGTGTGTGCACTGCTCTTTGCATGACTGCAGATGCCTCTTTACAGAGAGCCGCAGATTCATCACGACCTGGTGAAATTTGACATCTTTGCAGAAGGTATAGGGAAGAGGAGCAGTTCTGAGAAACTGCTGCACCCTGCCCACAGGTCTTTGTTCTTTCAGATCATGATGGATTGTTAGGTGTGTGACTATGCAGTAAAGCCTTCTATTCAGCCTTGTAAAGTTAATTCCATTCTCCATGTTGTAACTCAGTTCATAAGTTTGTGACCTTCTGTGGAAAAGTCCTGGCTTATTTTGCCTCTGTGATTATTATCATGCTCCTCTGTGGTTGCTTTCATCTGAGGAACTTCAAGTACCTTCTAAACAATAATTAGGCACACCACTATGTGGCCTTTTCAATTGAGTAAATGAGGGACAATCAACCTGGAACTATCTGAATCTTAATAACTTGTACAGGGCCACATAGTAGTTAGTGACAAACCAGGAAGAACCGTGGTCCACTGTCCAATGCTGAATCCCTTATCCTGGTCTGTTGGCACTAACAAATTGAAAAAAAGAGAAAGTGCTATTTAATTCTGTTTTTAAAAATAATTTTACGAACATACTTAGAAAATGATAATTTCCTGAGTTTTATCAGTCTTAAATGGGGAAGGAGATGAAGAAGCAAGGGAAAAGTGATGGAAAAAGAAGCTCTGAAAAGGGGGAAAATGAGAAATAGGACATGTCATTGGAAAACGTTGGAGTAAGTGTCTTATTCTTCACTTCATTTGACAATATATTTACCTTCCTGGAGATGAAGTGCCCAAAATGCCCTAATTTTTTACCTCCGTTCTGAGTAAGAACTGTTCTACTGGCTGGGCTAGCTGGAGATTGGGTGGTTGTATTGGCTGAATCTCATATGGTGAATTGTGCAGTACAAGTCCTGGACCCAGCAGTGTATGGTATGTACCTGTGTACATGCCCAAAATCTTGAGTAGAGAATAGAAAAGAAAGGATTATGGAATGACCATCCTCCCTGTTGGTGGTGCTTTCTCACTTTTTCTCTCTCCCTCTTTCTGTCTCCTTTGGGAACATATAACCTGTAGCAAAATTTAAAAAAAAAAAAAAAAAGGAGTCCTTTACTGGCCTGTTACCCCCAAAATGACTTCCTGTTTTATCTCTCCCTTCTCCACCAAAACTTCTAATCCCAAGATCTTTCTGGCTTGGGGTGCTTAGATTAGATGCAATATTAGAACAAAATGTAAAGAAATTCACCCTAACTAAAAATAACTGTAAGTCTTTAGAGGAGATGTCATTGCCTAGTTCTTGGAAGGAGTTTACTAGATGTAAGTTAAGAAGATGGAAAGAAGGGAAGAAGGAGGGAAGGAAAAAAAAAAGAGAGATAAAGGAAAGGAGGAAGGGGA